TTTCCTCCTAGCTTTACTATTTGTGTCACTAACATTCTTTGGAGTCATGGGTGTGATATTTTATACAAATAAAGAGAAAAAAAGGCAGGAATGTTTTAATGCAGTAACATAAGCACTATGTGTTGTCTAGGTGAGAGCCACACTTAGACTGAACAGTCACCACTTTGTGTCCTGGGCAAGATGCAACATGTGGCCCACACAGGTTTTTCAAGTCAGATTTTTGGTTTAACTATCTAGCGAAGTAATGATCAGTGAGCAGATGGTTTTTCACACTTTGCTGTTTGAGTAGTGGAAAGTTTGAGCTTGGAGCCATTGGACAACTAAGGTTATATTTAGACTCTAACAGACAGTTGTTTTTTGAATTATTATTTTTCCTCCCTTGTTTTCTTACGTGATTCAGACTATTCACACATCGTAATTTTCTTTTCTTCAATTGTCATGCCCCAGAAATTAACCTGAATTTTCTGCTAAGCTGGTACAGTCAGCCCATGCTTGTTGTGAATGTACTATGCGCAAAACTTACCTATACAGAGAGATAAATATAGCCCCAGCCTTCAAAAGTTGTTGAGGCAAAGAAATCAATGACAAGAATACTATAATAACAATGAGAAACATTTTTTGAATACTGACTTTATATTAGGCATGATCCTAACACTCTTTTTAAGTTAGCTCATTTAATCAGGACAACAACTCTAACAAGCAATGCAAGATATTGCTGTAAGAGTGGTATCTTTTGTATGGAGGAGAAAGTGAAGAAGAACTTGTTATCTTAAGCAATTCAGCATTGACCTGACTTGCAAATCCCAGTTTAAATACTTTATCAAAGTTAAGATAGTAAGCCTTAGCTTCACCCGCACCAAGTCTGCTGTGGTTGTGAAGAAGATCGAGACCCATGATGGGAAGCTGATGTCTGAGACCTCCGATGTCCTGCCCATGTGAATGAACCACAGAAGCCTTTCCCAGCCGACAGCCCTCCCTAGGCTGCCCCAGAGCCTGGAGGGAGACAGCCTCATATGGGAGCAAGAGACCCACCTGAGGCTCAGCCCTCGCCCTCAGCCCACCCTTGGGGGGAATCTACTGCCTGGAGTACCCCTTCTTTCCCACGCCCTCCACCAAAAACCAATTCACTTGTTTTATTCCAAAATAAAGCTTGGTTTTGCCATCTGAAAAAAGTTAAGATAGTAACTGAACTTGTTCTTGTTAAAAGATAGGGTGGAGATAAAATGTTTGATTTTCTTTGAGGAATCTAATCTATCTCTCTCCCCCCATCCCTCCCTCACTGCCTCTGTCCCTCTCTCCCTCTCCCTCTCCTAATCTCCATACAATGTCCTTGAAAGACATTTGAATAAAGATTTGAGTATTTTTTTTCATTTTTTAAATTGGGCCTCTATAAAATGGCACTTACATCAAACTAACCTCTACATTCAGTTTTGATACGGTTCTTCTTTTCAACACCTCCATGTTAAGTTTACTAATGAGGAGCCTGAGGTTTAGACAAGTTGAGTAATATGCTATATTTTATGTTAGTATGTAACAAATTCCCACAAGTTTAGCAATTTAAAACAACACACATTTATTATCTCACAGTTTCTATAGGCCATGAGTCTGGGCTCAACTTAGTTGGGTCCTCTGCTCAGTTTTGATAGTGCTGCTCTCTAGATATCAGTGGGGCTACATTCTTATCTGGAAGCTCAGGATTCTCTTTCAAACTCACCAGGTTGTTGGTAGAAGTTAGTGTCTTGTATTTGCAAAATGAATGTCTTGTTTTCTTATCAGCTTTGGCTTGAGCCTATCACCTGCACCAAACATCTTTTCAAAAGCAGTGTTTTCTTTGAGCAAAGCAGATATCAAAATGATTAATCATTATCTCTCAAAAGCATAAAAAGTTAAATAAAAATGAATTTTAGAAATATTCCAAATATCTATGAGTAATTTAATAATCAGTATCACTCGTGTAAGATATATAAAGTAGGTGTAAAAATGCACATATGTAAGTAATGTTAAGAAACAAAAATCAGAATATAAAGCAGTGCATATACTTTTTCTATTATATAACACATATATTAAAATATGTAAAATACTTGATTAAGTTTCTAGATTTTTATAAGTTTAGTTGTCATTTTTAAAGTACAGTTATTCTATACAAACCTTAACCATACAAAGTAGAAGATAGCACTGTTACATATTTGTCTTGACATTAAGTACTATAGAAGTTCATAACAGGAAAGATTAATGTCAACTAGAGTCTCTCTTCAGGTGTCAAATAAGATTAAATTTTTATGAAGTAGCTTACTAGCTAGTCATCAGCTAAGTATACAGGACTGCATGTCCTCTGAAGAAGACTTTCTTCTACCTAGATATGACTAATACTCACTTATGGAAATATTTTAGCATTATTTTACAAAGTCAGTTAAAATCTTTAGATTACTGTAATATCCCTCTTTGTCATAGAGTAGGGAATAATGTATTGTGTATCTCTATTAGCTGACACTTTTTTAAAGTCCCATCAGTTTACCATTTTCAGATATTGCAAAGTAAAATGATTTTCTTCTGCTTCTGCCAGGAATCTCAATATTCAGTTATTCTGTGTCTCTAGAATAAACAACCATCTCAACTGTTTATGTATTGGTTTTATTTAAAAAGACATTGTGGTAGACTGAATAATGTGCCCCCTTCCCACAAATGTGCCTACATCTTAATTCCTAGAACTGTGAATGTCACATTATGTGGCACAATGGACTTTGTAGAGCAAAGGATTTTGCAGATGTGATTAAGAATCTTGGGATGAGAAATTATCCTGGCTTATCTGAATGGACCCCATAAAATTCAAATGCTACTTATAAGGAAGAGATAGGAGAAGGCAGTGTGATTGATGATGGAAGCAGAAGTTGCAGTGAGTGCATTTTCACTGTGGAGGAAAGGCCACAAACCAAGGAAGTCAGGTAGCCTCTAGAAGCGAAAAAGGCAAGGAGAGTGATTCTCCTGGAGCCTCTGAAAGGAGTTTGCCAACACCTTGACTTTAGCCCATGAAATGGTTTCCTAATTTCTGACTTCTGAAACTGTAAGAGAATAATTTTTTGTTGTTTTGAGCCATAAAGCTTGTGGTAATTTGTTACAGAAGAAATAGCTAATATTGCAGTTGTTATGTATTAGTTTACTGGAAATGCCATATTTTACTTGTAGCCTTGAGCAAATAAGCTTCTCTCAACTTGTAAATAATTGTTCATAAAAGTAGAAGCGCATTTCAGTAGATATAGATAGAAGATTAAGGAGGATTTTTGTTAATATTAGTGTTCACTACATGATTCCTTTCTGTATTTGTTTGTATAGAGATAAAAAATAGAATAGAAGTAAAGAGTTAATGTAAACTGGCTTTAAATAAAACCCTGAAGGGAGAGGAAGATGAAAGTAGAAGCTGTCAAGGATATTTTAAATGTTTTTCTTGTCTGCCAGTTACTTTCTCTTGTTTTTATCTTTCAGTAAAAAGTCCAGGGTGGAAAACAAAGTTTCTACAAAAGTGGACTATTTTCTCCTTTCAGCTTCTGCATTAAATATTGTACTCGGGCACTTCTAAAGAAATAACAGCTTCTAGGCTTAGTATATCTTTGGATAACCCATCTTATTGGTTAAATAACTGGACTAGGTGGCCCCCTTTTCATACTGAAGATCTAACTACAGGGAACCATTACGATTTTAGTGGGCCGTCTTTGGAATAATCTGATAGTTGGCTGGCTTCATTCTCAGCATTTTCAGAAGTGAATACCCCATCAATCCAGTTTCATTTAGTCTGCATTTATTCCTTTCATTATTATTTTGTCATCCCCAAGTATCCACTTTTCATGAGCAAGTCGCTTATGTGTTGCACACTCAGTAATGTTTTATACAAGAATATTTCCAGTTGGGCAAACTGTAATTTAGATACCACAGATTTCTGAAACACATTGTGAAGGAAAGCTGCTTATTTGTTCTGTTGAATCAATGATGTTTGGAACTGAGTGAACTAAAACAACTCAGTCTTGTAAAGCCAACAATTCAACAGATGGAGATAGTGCAGGGCAAAGACCTGTCGTTTTCAGAATGTGGTTCCAGATCAGCATCATCTGGGAACTTGTTAGAAATGCAAATTATCTGACTTTGCTCCAGACTAAGTGGAATCTCTTGGGAATGAAGCTAGCATTTTATGTTTAATAAGCCCTCTGCTGGTATTTGTTAGAGTTTGAAAATGACTGATAGGGACTAAGCTTCACTCTCTAGTAGAACAGAGTTCTAGTAAGTCTGATAGAATGGACTTAAGGCTAAGATGTTGGAAAAGCTCATTCTTTTGATCTATCAGTGGTAATTTTTACTGCTTCCTTTCTACCCTAGTTCTACCAGACCATTCGAACACTAAAAATCCCTTATGTTTGAAGAACAAATGAAATATATTCTGCATTTGAATATCTGCTTTTGATTAAAATTATATTTTGTTCAAAGCAATTTTACCTATGTTCTATAAAGGTATTTATAAAAACTCATGAAATTTTTAGCACTAACCTCCTATTCAGTATAAGGTGAAATATTTTATATCAAATTTCATTCTGTGTGATGGCCAATCAACGAGTATTTAAAGCTGCTGAATGGATTCTTGGTTCAGTATATGAGGGTAAACATTTTTAGATATTAAAATTCAATGCATTTGCTTCATCTCAGGTTGATTTTATGTAATATTCATTATTTGCAATTCTTAAAATCACCAAAGATCTTAGTTAAAGATCATGTCGCAACCCTATATTTTTCTTGTACTTATATGGATTTGCTTAAGTGTAGACTGTTAAACCTACAATTGGATAAAGCTTTGTAGCACATCTGTTTAGCTATGCAAATGCTGTTTAATTTTAAGAAGATAGAACAGGAGTATTTTTTAAATGAATATATATTCTTAAGTTCTGAAAAAATGAAAAGAAAGAATTGGTTTTACTGTGCTTTTATTTGACATGTGACACTGTGGGGTATTTTTGCAGATAACCAATAGGAAAAATGCTCTGCAGTCTTCATCTGTGGAATTGGATGGCTCCTACTTGAGTGTAGCCAAACCACAAACCTACTGTCAAACCAAGCAAAGGCCCAAGTCTGCGAACCAGGACTTAGCTTCAGAATCTTTTATGGCATTCGGGAATAATTCTTTGAAATCAGCAACCCTTTCTCAACCCAAAGGAGGTCTGGAGAGGCTGCCAAGAGAAATAACAACATGTAATTATGAATCTCCAGGGAGAAAACCACTGATTGCAGCACCAACAGAAATAGCTCCACTAGAAGAACTGAAGATTAAGGAATGTCCAAACCTTAAGCCTACTCCATCTAAACAATGCTGTGATCACAGACTTTCTGAAAATAAAGATCATGTTCATGAGCTCCATCCTACAAACCTGGCCTTTCAGTATTCTAAGACACATCCAGAATCATGCAGTCATTGTGGGATTTCTTGGGCATCTGACATGTACAATAAAGGAGCACCACAACCCAATGAAACCGAAGTGAAAAAGCATCTCTCAGAAGACAGACGGCAACAACTGATACTTCAAAAAATGGAGCTAGAAATTGAAAAAGAACGCCTTCAGCATCTGCTAGCTCAGCAGGAGACAAAGCTACTACTGAAACAGCAGCAACTTAATCAGTCTCGACTGGATTATAATTGGTGAGTCCTACCTGTTCTTCAACAATGTATGTGAATTGCAGTATAAAATGTCTGAGGCATTACTGTGAAAGACTTCTACGGAAAGATCTTGGTTTGCTCAGGTTGTATACTAGCACTGACTACTAAGTAAATTCCTGTCTTCTGTGTAAGATCTATAAGATTACCTTGATTTCACAATGTTAGATTAGAATTTCTACTTCTGAGCAATCAGCTGTAACTTTTGTTGGATTTCAAAGATAATGTTTTAAATTATATTAACATTACACCAAGCCCTTTGTTCTGATGTCATTGTAGAGAATGTTAAGCAGTAAGTAAAAACTCAAGCGTTCAGGTTGTGGGATCAACTGAGAAGTGTGACTAGCTTTATCATTCTATATTTATGTCTAGCTGACATAATATCAAAAATAACAAATGATGGAAATCTTCTAAATTTCATTTTTTCATGAAATATAACCTGTTTAATTACCAGCTCTCATAGACTTGACCACATGTGCATTGTTCTTCCCTTAATTCTTCTCTAAGATCAGTGTTTCAAAAACTAAATTGCTTAGCTTTAAATTGCTTTGTCTCAGATTGTTCAGCATAGTTTTGTATGCAGTCATAAAGATTGCTAGCTTAGTTTCAGAAAAACTGCTAGTGAATCAGACACAATTGTATTTTAAACAATAAAATGTGGCATGTATAACATTTAAAAAATAATAAAGTGCTAGTTTTTGTAGGGAAGTGCTTACACGGAACTTGATCAAAATATACAATGAATATTTAAATTTTAAAAATTTATTGGGGCTGGAGGTTTAGCTCAGCGACATAAGTGCCTGCCTTGGAAGCAGGCAGTCGTGAGTTCGATCCCCAGTACCGATAAAAAGGAAAAAGACAAAAAAAAAAATTATTGTACTAAAAGACACATTGCTGTTAATACTCCTCAGAATATTCCCACTTACCTCAAACAATATTCCACAGCTGTTACCGCTTTTGAGGATGCTTTTTTTCTTGATGCTTTTCTGAAGCAGTTCTGGATGTCTTCTTTCATAAGTGTCTTTACAAGATGTGGTGAAAACTATAGTGAATGCTACTGCCAGTTTTCATCCACTGGAAAGGCAGGCTTGTAAAAATAATACAATCAAGAACTATGCAACTTTTGACTGTTCTCTCCAGTTAAAATGATTGTGAGAGATAAAAGTTTGAATTGATGTATGTCACTGAGTAAGCCGTGACAGCACAACTAAAGACATGGAGGGAGAGGATTTCCAGGACTACTACAATGTGCATTTTTCTAATGAGAAAGAAGTAAACATCCATTGTATTTTTAAATTACACCTTGTGTATCCTTATAGTTTCTTCCTAGGTCAAAATTTCTATTTTCCCTCTGTAAATATTCTTACTAGAAATATACCTCTCACATAAACACAATAGAAATGGTAATTTATTTTCTGTTGGTGTTTTTTAGAGTCACTTTTCTTTCACTTAAAAATCATACCTAATATTCTTTAAATTCTTCTTTCTTTGAAAATTCCATCATGACTTTTCCCCCCATATCATATCTACTTTCCTTGGAGCCGTAAGGGATCTTTCTCTTGCTTCATGATCAGAGGGTTCTGTTCCTAATACCTAGAGGCTGTTAAAGTACACGGAAATGAAGTCTCTGCAACAAGAGTGTCACCAGATTCTAGACAGTTACCTCATTCTTATTAACCTCATTCTTAACTCTAATCCTCCATTTAGAGTAGATTTTCTTGAAAACTTTAAGAAATACTTACTGAATTCCTATAATATATGAGGAATGGTCATAGGTGGCTAGGATTTAAAAAAATAAATCAAATGTAATGTTTCCTTTAAAGAGGCACAGTCTTGCAGGAAACAGTAGATAATTTTAGAGTAGGCATCGTGTTCTTATGTGTAGCACTATATAATTGAAATAACCCCAAATGATGATAGTAAAGTATTGTTCTCTGTAGAATAGTGTGTGGGGAACAGCTTTTGAGCAAGTTTTATATATGCATGAATTATAAAATATTATACATATTCATAGATATATTTCAAATCTTATTTTGAAATCATTGTAAACTCACAGAAAGCTTACAGAAGTACTACAGAGGTCCCATGTACCCTTTACTTGGATTCCACCATTAATCTAAATTATTCACAATTATGATATCAGAACTAGTAAATTAACATTGGTACAATATATGTGTATAGTTATATGCCATTTTATCCCATGTAGACCTATGAAGTCACCACATTCAAAATACAGAATTATTTTTGTCATCACAAAGATATTTTCCCTGCTACTTTATAATAGTCCTACCCATTTCCTTCTGTCTTTAGTATCCATAATCCATAGGGACCACTAATCCTTTGGCATCATCTGTAATTTTGTCATTTTGAGAATATCATTAAATTGTATATTACATAAACCATATTTTAGCTTTTTTTCACTCAGTTAATTCTTAAGATCTGTTAAAGAATATATACTAGACCATTTTATAGCTACATATACTAGACCCTTTTTTAGCTTGTTAGTATTCTATGATGAATATAGAATACCATATTTAACCATAATTTAACCATTCACCTGTTAATGAAAAATGTGATTGTTTCTAGTTTTTTTTGTCTTCTAAACAAACTTGCTGTGTACATTTTTGTGTAAGTTTTTGTGTGGACTGAGGTTTTCATTTCCAAATGTGGAATCAAAGAATATGGTTGCTAAATCACGAGTGTTTATTTAGCTTCTTTAAATTAAATATGCTTTTAGCTTTTACTACAGTTAGGTCATAATACATTCTTACTGGAAATGTATGAAAAACCTAGTTTCTCAACATCATTTCTAGAATTTGATATTATTGCTAATTTTTATTTTGCCTCTTTTGATATGTATATGATAGTATTTTTATTATGGTTTTAGTTTGCATTTTCCTAATGGCTATAATGATATTAAATGTCTTTTCCTGTATTTATTTACTCTCCTTTCATCCTTTACAGAAAATAGGCTCTTCAGTATCTTTTGCTCATATATTAACTGGAATATTGGGGTATTCTAACTTTTGAGTTTTGAGAATTCTTTATATCTTCTGGACAGCTCTTGTCAGATATGTGGGTCACAATTATATTTTCCCAATTTATAGTTTGTTCTTTCAGTCTCAACAGGATCTTTCATGGCATCAAAATAATTTTTTTCTTTTCAGGACTAGAGATGGTAACAGGTTGTGTAAGTGCCAGGCCAGTGCTCTGTCACTGAGCTATAGTTCCTTGCCTTTTTAAAAATTTTTTATTTTGATACAGCATCTTACTATGTTACCCAGACTGGCTTCAAACTTGCAAACCTCTTGCGTCTGTCTCCCAAGTAGCTGGGATTACAGGCCTGTACCACCCTACCCTGCTAAAAGCTTTTGATATTAATGAAGTCGAATTTACTGACTTTTTTCAGTTATGGACTATATTAAACTTTTATCATGATTAGGTATTGAATTTTGTCAAATGCCTTTTATAATCATATGATTTTTCTTATTTAGCCTGCTAAAGTCATAGATTACATTGAGTTTTGAATATTGAACTAGCCTTCCATTTCTTGAGTGATCCTCACTTGGCAATAGTATGTAGTTTTTTTATATTTTAAAGATATTTCTATCAGTATTGTTGAGGAATCTTAGTCTATTTTCTTTATTGTATATCTTTGTCTGGCTTTAGTATCAAGGTTATTTTGTCCTCATTCAGTGAGTTGGCAACTGTTACTTTTTAAATGTTTAGTAGTATTCACTGAAACCAGAGATTTATTTTTTGAGTTTTAAAATTACCGTCTCAATTTACTTAATACAAGGTTATGCAGATTATTTCTTTGGTAGTGAGTTGTAGAAGTTTGTGTTTTTTGGAAAATTGACCCATTTTTCTTGTCATGAAATTTATATGGGTGTGGTTGGTAAGAATGAAATTTTTTCATTTCATTGTTATTGTATTTTCAATTTCTTCATTAATTCCTTCTGTTTATTTGCTTTTGCTTTATCTTGCTCATATAAAATTTGTTAAGTTAGAAGCTTATATGATTGATTTGAGACATTTTTCTTTTCTAAGGAAGAATTTAGTACTGTAAATTTTCCTCTGAAGCATGATCCAGTTGTCTCTCACAAATTTTATGATCTTTTCTTATTCATTCAATACAGTATATGTTCTGTCTTGATACATATTTCATGAATGCTAAAGAAAAATGTGCATTCATTGTTTTAGAGTGGAAAATATTCTATAAATATCAGTTAAATTTTATTGCGTGATAGTGCCTTTGAGTTGTTCTATATCCTTGTTGATTTTCTACTTGTTTATTCTTTTAATTCTTAAGAGAGCAGTTTTAAAAGCTCCAACTACAAGTATGGGCACATTTATTTTATTCTCAGTTCTATCAATTTCCTTTTATGTATTTATACCTCTCTTGTTTGCTGTTTATACATTTAACATTAAAATGTCCTCCTGATGAATTGAACTGTTTTTATCATTATGTAATTTTTTTTCTGGCCATAACAATTTTTCTCTCTCTACAGTTTCATTTATCTGATATCGATAAAGCTATTGTCACTTATATTTGATTATTTCACTCTATACTTATGATGTGTTTTTTTTTTTTTTTCCTGGCTCTGGAGATTGAATACATTGATGTACATTGCTGGCCCTTTTTTTTAATTTCTTGAATCAGTGTCTCACTAAGTTGACAAGTTTGGCCTCAAACTTGCAGTCATCCTACCTCAGCCTTCCAGGGTGCTAGGATTATAGGTGGGTAATGTCATTTGCATGTTGTAATTTTAAATTGAATTTCTTAGCATTTCATTGAATCATGTTTTTTTAACTTACTTTGCCAGTTTTTGTCTTTCAGTTGGTATGTTTAGACATACAGTTTTTTTGTTGTTGTTTTTCAGAGTTCTGGTGTGTGACCAAAGAAAGCCTCAAATTTTTAATCCTTTTATTTAGCCTCATGAATAGCTGAGATTACAGGCATGTGACACTGTGTGTTACTGGAC